TAATATACAGTCCCCTGCACATGAGGACAATACAAAATCCAATGCAATGCAACGCTCTTGTGTCAGAAATATAGACTGATCCTTTAACAAATAAATATCTTGTACATTTTCACAATACATTAGAAATGTACACCATTAACAGAACTAAAATGTCCAACACGTAACGATTCATATGAATATATATGTAGTCCTGCTCCAGGAAAGCAGTCAATCTTGCGTTAAGTATGATGATCCCGCTTCCATTGCAATGACAGCAACGATCAACATAAGAATGATTGGTTGATTGAGTGCAAAATTTCATGAATATGTTCCAATAAGTGTGTGAGTGGTGACTTGTGTTTAACACCGCTTTTAACAGTATTCCAGTTGTATCACAGCGTGTCAGTTTAACGTGGGAGGAAAGCCCGAAGTGATTCAAGTCTTACACGTTTACCACGTCGGTGAAACCCTGTTCCAATAAGATGTTGAGTTGTTCTCCGTACATCACAAACCACCCAACTTCATCCCACTCCACAAGCTGCACAATGCCCCCAACCCAATCAAAATATTGCGGCAGGAGAAACGATTTGTTTGGATTGTATTCACTGTCAGTATGTTTTTGTTTGTGATTGTGTTGTTTAACTCTGCACTCAGTCTGTAAATTATCAAGTCTGGACCAGACAATCAAGTGATTGACATCATGAGCATTGATCTACACAATTGCGATACGATGACTTGCATCAAGTCAGCGAACCTGACCATCTGATCCTGTTAGTTGCCTCTTATGACAAGCATAGTTGCCTCTTACAACCAGGATCTTCACAGGAAATGTGACTACAGACCTTGCTTCTTCTTTTTTTGGTCCAATGCCAAACTCAGCAATATTTCAATTATTACAGCAGTCTGTAAATAACTGAGTCTGGACCAATCAAGTCTGGATTGTGATTGACATCACGAGCATCGATCTACACAACTGGGATATGATGACATGCTTCAACCAAGTCAGACAGCCTGACCTCCTGATCCCGTTAGTCGCCTCTTGTTATAAGCATGGGTGCAGAAGATCAATTCTAACCCGGATGTTCATGGGACCCACATCTTGCAGAACTATCAGTCACTTTTACACAAAAACTTCCTTCTTTCGATTCTTCTGTTCTATATTTGCCACCATGCAGTATTTTTAAAACTTACTGTGGCATGTTTTCTGTCAAGACAAATTCTATAGCTTTTTAAAAGAAGGGAATATATCAGTCCCTTGGGTTGTCACCATGTTGGATATTTAAATATTTATTCTGCAACAATAAAGTTTCTACATCTCAGTACATATCTACTATGTCGGAAACAAACTCAAACAAGTATAGCTTATTGATAGAGCTAAGCAATATATAAAAATACCACAATGATCACCTCATTTGAACGAAAGAATTTTTTGTGTGGATAATTAACAACTTCGTAAAAACCTCAGTGATATTTTGGTTACTCATTCTTGAACACAAATGTCGATATTCTCCAGACAAGTGCCTCCTGTCTGAATCCCTTGGGGAAATCTCACAGCGTTACCGATCACTCACAGTTAAGATTTGCTTGTTTCCAGCTATAAAAAATCTGAATTGCACGCAAGTGATTCGGCTTGCAAGCTTCTCATTTAGAACAACACAATGTGACTTGTAAATCACACAATACTCAGTTCAGGTTCAGAATGATCTATCACGTCTACTGTGTCCTCTCACTGTAGATTTGATACCTCTTATTTAATTTGGACACACCCCCCTCCCCACACACACACACCTAAAACCCATCCCCACACCTATCACTATAAAAGTGCAATAATCTTGAAAAAGACGTTAAACCCCATTTAACCTCACCTCTTTCTTCAAAATATGATTAAACAGTACAGATTCTAGAAACACCTATTTCACAATGAGAAAAATACTCTTAATATGAAGCCGGAGATACCCTTAGGTCACTATGCATGAATTTTACACACTTTAAAAGTTGTACAACGCGTAAGGCTCTCAAATCTACCGCTACACCATATGTGTCAAATGCATTAAATACGCCAAAGCCATTACCTTCAAATACAAACACTACATCAAACTTGGCTGCAGTCTCCTCTAACGATAATAACAGCTCTTGTAGTGAATGTCATAATTTATTACAAAAACATCTTTCAGAAAGACATAACCGTGGCACACGTTGAAGCCGGCAATCATGAAGCTGCTCGAGGCATAGCATGTGGGTGTAGTTTCATGTCAGAATTTATTTTAGATTTCAGAAAATTCATTTCCTTTTAACCTGTGCCTTTTCAGGATAATTGCTTTTAGTTGCGTGCTGGAGTGTCAGAGGAAAACACATAAATTGTGCTGCCATTCTCCCGAAGAGGGACGCTAAACAAGCCAGTTGGATTTAATTCTGGAACCTGCTAGAAGTTGGAGTGAAAGGAGTTGGAAAGTGATTATTAGTTAGAGGCGAACATGATGAACATTCCAGAGCAGCTACATTCAGGCTTGGCCATCAAGGCAACCCAAGTCTGCCATGTAAGAAAACACTGTAGATACATCCCCAGTTATCTAGGCTTGATGAGGGGGGCACGGGTGGCCCAGTCGTCTAAGGCGCTGCGATTCGCTATGCAGAGTTGCGTCCCTTGGGCATCCCAGAAACCTATGATTGTAGGTTCGAATCCCGGTTCGCCCCAATTATGTTTCTAGGTTTGTCAGCACCATACCCGTGCTCGTGGGTTTTACCGAAATGGTAAACGTCTGAGACCTGCATCACTTCGGGCTTTCCTCCCACATTAAGCTGACACGCCGCGATATAACTGGAATACTGTTAAAAGCGGCGTTAAACCAAACTCACTCAGTCACTAGGCTTGATGAGGACAGGCTCGCAATGTCGATGTAAGTTCTCACTCTTGGCCTTTTCTTATTTCCACTGTTTTCCACCATTTTCATTTTTTGATGAACATTACATTGTTTCAATCTATGATCACATGGATTACCAATAACCCCATGGTTTAATTTTTGTTTAAAAATTGAAAAAGCACTGTAGCTCACCTTATATCTCTACAGATTAAGAAAAAGGCAGAGACCACATACAATGAATAAATATGAAACAAATTACAAAATCTTAAGTTTCAAATTGCAACAATAATGAATGTCAGTACAACATCAACATTTCCTTTTCACAAAGTCTCCACTTATGGCCCTTAATTACATAAACCTTATCATTGTTCATTAATTAAGACAATCCATATGTTTCACAAATGAAACTTTATTTTTAAAGCCTTTCATAATCGTGACACACATCTGCATAAACTTTTAGCACAAACATTTCTGCAGCGGCTGTATATGAGAGGTGATCGTGATGCCTCAAACAGACTTGAAACTACTTATTGTTCACATCATTCACACAAACATCGAGCTCTTTTGGATGAATACATTTTTTTCTTTCAATTCGTAACTTCTTATTGCTGTGATGCCTTCATCACTCTTGAATATTTCAACCTTGTAGTTTTTGAAAATATGTTCAAGCGTTTGACAGTGTCATTACAATCAGATCTGTTACTCTACTATGATACCTCCCTGCTTGAGGATTGGAGGACAAGATATGGTGCCAAAACATTTAGAATTTCACACATGCATCCTTCATTTAAATCGGGCGGTCAAAGTATTCCCATGGATAACCTGACACACCGTGGACAGTGCCTCACATTTTCTTGCAGAGCTGTATTGCATCAGCATGATCAGAAGTAAAGATCTGTTTTTAATTACTTTTATGGCCGTAAATGGGTTATTGGTTTCCTTGTTGACCTACTGATGTCTACCCATAGGCTATTATGGCCGTAAATGGGTTATCGGTTTCTTTGTTGATCTACAGATGTCTACCCATAGGCTATAATGGCCGCAAATGGGTGATCAGTTTCCTTGTTCACCTACTGATGTCTACCCATAGGCTATTATGGCCGCAAATGGGTCATCGGTTTCCTTGTTGATCTACAGATGTCTACCCATAGACTATAATGGCCGCAAATGGGTTATCGGTTTCTTTGTTGATCTACAGATGTCTACCCATAGGCTATAATGGCCGCAAATGGGTCATCGGTTTCTTTGTTGATCTACAGATGTCTACCCATAGACTATAATGGCCGCAAATGGGTCATCGGTTTCTTTGTTGATCTACAGATGTCTACCCATAGGCTATTATGGCCGTAAATGGGTTATCGGTTTCTTTGTTGATCTACAGATGTCTACCCATAGGCTATAATGGCCGCAAATGGGTGATCAGTTTCCTTGTTCACCTACTGATGTCTACCCATAGGCTATTATGGCCGCAAATGGGTTATTGGGTCCTTGTCGACCAACAGATGTCTACCCATAGGATATTATGGACGTAAATGGGTTATCGGTTTCTTTGTTGATCTACAGATGTCTACCCATAGACTATAATGGCCGCAAATGGGTCATCGGTTTCCTTGTTGACCTACTGATGTCTACCCATAGGCTATTATGGCCGCAAATGGGTTATCGGTTTCTTTGTTGATCTACTGATATCACAGGCCATTATGGCCGCAAATGGGTTATCGGTTTCTTTGTTGATCTACAGATGTCTACCCATAGGCTATAATGGCCGCAAATGGGTGATCAGTTTCTTTGTTGATCTACTGATATCACAGGCCATTATGGCCGCAAATGGGTTATCGGTTTCCTTGTTGATTTACTGATGTCTACCCATAGGCTATAATTGCTGCAAATGGGTTATCGGTTCCTTGTTGATCTACTGATGTCTACCCATAGGCTATAATTGCTGCAAATAGGTAACTGGTTTCTTTGGGATCTATTGATGTCTACCCATTGCCACAAATGGGTTTTTGGTTTCCTTGTCAACCTACTGATGTCTACCCATCGACATTAATGGCCACAAATGGGTTATTGGTTTCCTTGTTTACTTACCTATGTCTACCCATGGACTATAATGGCCACAAATGGGTTACTGGTTTCTTTGTTGACCCGTTAATATCTTACCATGAGTATTGGTGAGGTTGAGTAGGAATCCACATGCAATGGTTCGGAGTCTGTCAGCACCTTCTGCATCATTCTTCAGTTGGGTCCTGAGGAGGTCCAGCAGCTGCTTCATGGCATTGGCCTCCTCTACAGCATTGCGGCCAGCATCTACAACATACAACACAATGACATCATCTAGAGTGTAAGAAGCATCATATAAACAAAGCGGCAAAACCCTTATCATATTCATAAAAATTTCATACGATTCTGACCATATCGTAAGCACGTGTGTGTGAATCACTACCAAATAGTGATGATACAAGGTGTTCGGGAAAAGGTAAGTTTATCCTGCCCCACCAGTGGCACCTATCACAAACACATGCAAAGGCATGTCAATTGTTAACCTGAAAAAACAAGTACAAGTCAAAATAGGGAATTACATCAGACAACATTTTAGTAACTGATGCATCAATTTTGGAAATGTCTTCCACATGTCTACCACAAAACTTTTTGAAAGCTTTACTGGGGCCTTGAATGTTGTAGCCTTGATCAAACAACTTTTGAGAAAGAGTTGTATGACACTCTTTGAAAGCATGGGAGAAAGAGCATGCTGGATTGTATCTCAAAAGTTGTGAAATGTAAACACCAAAGGTTGGAGCTGCAGGACTATTGCTCGACATAAAGTTGACTATTGGAAAGTTAAAACATTCCCCTTGTCTAGCAGTCTTGTGGAGAGTGGGGATAATTATCAAATGGAATTAATGTGGGCTTAAGTATCATATGTCCAGAATAACTGATACCCAGTGAATATATATTGGACACCTTCCTGGAAATATTATTTATCATTTGCATTTTCCTTCTATATATTCTTCACAATCTCTGTTATTTGAGAAATAAACGACGAGTGGGAGTTGTTTATAGTACAATAAAACACTGCAGGGAGAATAAACCATGAGGGGCGCAGCCCCAAGTGGTTCATTCTCCCTGCAGTGTTTTATTGTACGGAAAACAACGACCACGAGTCGTTTATTTCTTAAATGAGATTTTGTACAGCCACTTTTAGGATGTTAATAGAATGTACAAGCTTTAAAATGACTCCCTGAACAGAATACCGACCAAGGCAGTGTCGGTCAAGACCATGTTATTAATATAGGTGAGTTAAGTTTGTTATTTCCCCGATATTCTCATTAAGTCGATTATCTGTACCTTTTCTCCCAATACCAATTGTCACATCTCTCCCCCTTCAGGATCCGATCGTTTGGCCACTGCATTTATCTATGCTACCAAGCTACGTTTATTGGGAACAACTCACTAGACACTTCCCTCTAAAAAAAATGTTGTCCAATTTAAGACGTCATCAAGCTGTGAGCTCATGATCGAATGTCCAGAAATGATAGAACAATGTTTTATTGTGAAACAAGATTCAAATTTATGGAGGGGTTCTGACGTATTTCAAATTCAAAATATTCATAAAACATGGGTGGGGTATATATCTTGATGCAATATCAAACTCACAATTCCTACATCGTGAGAGTGTCAATGCAGGATGAAATTATATACCATCTGCCTAGAAGCCGTTGTCTTAAAATCATTGGGACTTTTGACCTTTGTTATAACATGTTGCAAGGTGTGATTGGAGAAACATGAAGTATGTTTGTTTTGTTTGTTTGTTGTTTAATGCCGCACTCAGCAATATTCCAGCTATATGACGGTGGTCGGTAAATAACCAAATCTGGACCAGACAATCCAGTGATTGATATCATGAGCATCGATCCAGGCAATTGGGTTATGATGACATACATCAACCAAGTCAGCGAGCCTGACCACCCGATCCCGTTAGTTTCTTCTTACGACAAGCATAGTGACCTTTTACGGCAAGCATGGGTTGCTGAAGACCTATTCTACCCCGGATCTTCACGGGTCAACACATGAAGTATGAGGTAACGGGTTCCACTGTTGGTATGTGTAGCAAGCTATGCGCTTCTGCAGACAATGGTAGACAGGAGTCAAGTTTAAGATATTCGTACCTCCACCATTGATGACTTCTATCTATCTAAGATAGCAATCTTAAACCAAGCTGTCCGACAATCGTGCTAAGATCGGTTTGTGCAAGTGGAACAAGACTTAGGTATGGAGATTGTAAAGTTGAGTGTAACGGTAAGCGCCTCATATGCTCTGTGGAAATGTGCCCTGATCTGCATGACATTCCGGACGACACAGAGATATGCCTGGTTGCTTATGTAGACAAGAGTTTAAACTATTGATTTTATCCTTATTAATTGTACACTTAAACAAACATGGGCCTTTTATGAGATCAATAACAGTGATCTTGTGTTGATGGTATACCCAGCAATTTATGTTGGTAGCTTTCAGCTTCCACATCTGGACTGGCAAGGAAATAACTGAACCATGGTACCAGACATCCTTCACACAACCACGGCACAATCCTTGCTGTCAAATAGAGGAATAGTAATTGTTTCACCACAAGACACTGACAGTCTTTTTACCTTGTTTATGTCAGTCTGTGCCATAAACTTTGGAGTATACTTTCTCGAACTTGTCGTTCAGCAACTTTGGTCTCTTTGCATCTCTTAGTATCTTTTGTCTCCTAGTCTGTCTTACAGACCCTGATACAAATATATATCAAATACAGTCCATGCAAGTCTATAATGCTTGGCAAGTCTAGATCACTGCAGTATCTGAAAATGAAGAGAGTCACTGGGCTCCTTTTTATTATATTTTTATTAAGATAACTGAACAAGTGTTTTTTTTATGTACGATATGTTCATTTCAGAGACTAGATTTTAGTCTATTTGTCTCCTAGCATCTCTTAATATCTTTTGTCTCCTAACCTCTCTTAATATCTTTTGTTTCCTTGATTCTCTTAATATCTTGGTCTCCTAGCATCTCTTAGCATGTTTTCAGTTGATTTTAGTGTTATTATTTATGGACTATGTCACCTGAGTTTATCTGACAGAACAGGATGTTTATCGACTCTGGCTTTGGGCCAGTGGCTGTTATGTTAATGTCAACTTCCTAATTCTGGTCTACCCTCTTAAACCTGTGTACTGCTGTCAAACACAGAACAAAGGGACATAACTCAAGATCTGTGTCATCACCCGAGATGGGTGCGGGTCGACCTTGTTGCTCATGATTACTTTGTTCCACTTTCTGCTACTGCATCTGATTGTGAGTGAGTGAGTGAGTGAGTGAGTGAGTGAGTGAGTGAGTGAGTGAGTGAGTGAGTGAGTATGGTTTTACGCCGCTTTTAGCAATATTCCAGCAATATCACGGCGGGGGACATCAGAAATGGGCTTCACACATTGTACCCATGTTGGGAATCGAACCCTGGTCTTCGGGGTGACGAGCGAATGCTTTAACCACTAGGCTCCCCCACCGCCCCCATCTGGTTTAGAGATGACTGCTAGGCTTTCAACTGTATTGATAAACAAGGTTCAACTGTAAGTATGGTTTATAAAGGTTTCCTACTTTATGCAACATACTAGCAATTGCCCCAGGGAAGATCCAGGTTAGAATTTGTCTTCAGCTTGTTGAAAGAGGCGACTAACGGGATCGGGTGGTCAGACTCACTGTTTTGGCTGATGCATGTCCTTGTATCCCATTTGTGTAGATTGATGCTCATGATGTCAATCACTAGATTGTGTGGTTCAGACTTGATTATTTACAGACTACAGGCATATAGCTGGACTATTGCTGTGTGCAGCTTTAAACAACAAACAAACGACCAATTAAACTATATAAAACTCAGTTTGTTAATCATATGAAAGGTAAAATTGATTACAAATCACTATACCTAATGTTAAACTGGAAATGTTCACAGGCATGGAAGTAAACACATGACAGTCTCAAGCAACACATACTCACTGGGGACCAGGGCCCACTTGCACAAAGCGATCTTAGCGCTAAGATGATCTTAACTCCCATACTTTAACATAGGCTTACAATAGTTGTAGTGCTAAGATTGCTTTGTGCAAGTGGGCCCTGGACTAACAAATACTTTATGATGATTTATTTAATGTATCATGAGGTATTTATGTATGGTTTATCAAGAGTCATTACTTGTGAATCTTTCGGCTATATAATGCCCTACGGAATAAATGTTTGACAAACAGAACTTTGGAGAGGGTATAAAGAATCAATAAATACAGTTCACCTTTTGTGAAACACAGACATCAATGTAAATAACAACCCTGAAATCACGGTTTGTTCCATGTTCCATGTTATTCATGCAAGCACAAGTATTTGCCACTAATGTAGCTAAGTCTCCCACTTCAAACAGGATAGGAGAACTTGTGAGGTTGTTTATAAAAGAAGCTGATTCAGCATCTCCATACTGGAATAATTCAGTTTATCTTTTCCAAAATGAAACACAAGCTGGAACAATTCAGGTTCTCTTTACCAAATGAAACACAAGCTTCTTTAAGAATCAGCATGATAATAATCAAATAGGACTTGTAGGTTTCCCATCAATCACCAACTATGAACCAACTCCAAATCAGTTAAAGCCAATCTGTGACATTGAAAAAAAGGTCAATGTTCACCATAACAAAGCGGGGTGTGAACTCTCCTCACTAACCTTCTTATTTTATAGGAACATAAACTATGAAGTAGATCTTGAGATATTTCACTGTCAAATGGGTTGAAGGAATAAGCTTTCAGTGACCTTGAAATATAGGTCAAGGCCACCACAATCCTTACTTGTCTGTGGACTTCTGAAAGAAACATTTATTCAACAATCTGAATACGATCCATAGTGTTTATAGAGATATCTCACAAACAAACAGAAACATGGTAGAATTCCTCCAATGATCAGGAAACATTACCTCATGGTTAATCCATGCAGAGGTTCTGGAGATATCTCGCTGACAAACAACATGTTGGTCAATGCCTCCCATGACCTATATTCAGTTACTATAATCAACAGGTGCTGGGCGACAAATTTAAACCAAATCCATGCAGAGGTACTGGAATAATCTTGCTAACAAACAACAAATTGGTCAAATGATTTCCATGACCTTGAAACTAAGGTCAAGGTCACCATTATCCTTTGAGTACTGTGAATATGCCTTAAACACCTTAGGAACAAGTTCAAACCCAAGTCATGTAAAAGTTCTGTTATCCTCTCACATATAATATTTTGGATGGAG